TGATTCCAATTAAACAATAATCAAATCAAAAAAAGCAGTGTTCAATAACCATATTCATTATAGACCAAAAGAAACCATATGTGTGCTGGCCTATTCCTACACTCAGAACTGTGGAAGAAGCAGTTCACTTATGCAATTCTGACCATTTATAATCTTATGGTCCAACAGATCTGATAAGAGGCCTTTATCATTCATGGTTATTATTATTATTATATTATTATTATTATACAAGATTTATATAGCGCCAACAGTTTGCTCAGCACTTTACAATATAAAAGGAGACAATACTGCAACAATACAGTTTAATACAAAAGGGTTAGGAGGGCCCTGCTCCTTGGAGATTACAATCTAAGAAGGAGGGGCTGGTGGTACAAAAGGTAATAACTGTGGGGGATGGACTGGTAGGAGGAGTAGAAGATTCCGTTATTAGCTGAACTCAGGATAGGCTTCCCTGAAGAGAGAGGTTTTCAGAGATTGCCTAAAAGTGGGCAGAGTAGGCGATAGTCTAAAAGATTGGGGTAGAGAGTTCCAGAGGGTGGGGGAGGCTCTGGAGAAGTTCTGGAGATGAGCATGGGAGGAGGAGACAATGGAACTAGAAAGCAGGAGGTCCTGAGAGGAGCGGAGAGGACAGTTTGGAGGTGGAGTCTTTCAAGCGTATAAAAAGTGCACTATTACTAACGGATGAGTTACATATATTTTTCCTGCACAAATTCTTCCTAGTGAAGTGTTTATAACTCCATATACACATGGGACTTTACTGTTTATATCGATTTACTAACACATGGACTGTTCACATATGGTTTTTTTTGTTTACAATGAATATGGTTATTGAGTGCTGCTTTTTTATTTGATTTTCAGGAAGGACAGTGTGAGTAGCCTTATACCCCCTGGGCTGGATAAGAGGTGAGGGCAGTCAGAGAACCCAACTAGCTTCTCAGCCAGGACTGTTTGACTTTGGTAGCTTCTGGTTCCCCTTGCCCAGGGAATACCCTCAGTGCAGCTGGGCAAAGAGGAGGTTTCACCTGGGGTCTGAGAAGATACACTGGAGAGCTGGAATGCTCTCAGAAAAGAGAGATTTTTCCTTCTTGTCGTTAGATTTGTACATAGTTTTTAAGGAGATTGTCCTCCCAGTTCACAGTTCCTTGGGCATCCCATGCATCCCTCAACCACATCCAACTTCAATACCCCTTCATAAAACTACAAGAACAAGCCTAAGGACTGGTTACTGTGTCCAGTGTGTAAGTATGGAGGAAGAAAATTTGAGTTGCCTGGCTGTGCAGAACTATAGGGGGACCCAAAACTCAGCGACTCCTAAGGGGGTAAAGCTACATGTATGAACTGATATAAGTTTATAAGGTTTTATTGATATTTTTCAGCACTTTATTACACAACCCATTATTTGTGTAGAATCCATTGATAACATTATCCTATTGGCTTTAAAAGGAGATTACTCTATTTATTAACATTTGTACGGTTATACATATTAGAGTAAGTTTCTTATATTTTTTATATTGTTGTATATGTGGGGACACATATGGTAACTGCGAGCAGCTGCTTGCTCTCATATTTAAGTAATTTAATTGGGAGCAGTAGCGCATAGGACAAGGGCGGACTGACAACTCATGGGGCCCCCGGGCAATAGGGATCATGGGGCCCCTGTGTCCTTGCCCAAACTCAAAAAAGCCTATGAAAAAGGTACCAGGGGCATCTCATGGGGCCCCCTACTGACCCTGGGCCCTCGGGTAGTGCCCGAGTTTCCAAATGGTCAGTCCGCCCCTGGCATAGGATAACTTCTTACACAAACTCCAAGTGATACTTTTCAAGGCATTAAAGCAACAGTTCTTTCCTTTTGCAATAAAGGTTTTACAAACAGTAAATGAAAACATTAAAACAAAAGGGTTCAATGTCCTCATACAACAGCACTTTATTAGAGGTAAAAGAGTACATACGCACAAAAACAATGAATAAACAGTGGCTTTATCTCCTTCTTCAAAACCCCAAAATGAGTCAGTTGGGTTTTTTGATGATTGTTTGGACCTTTTGGCCTCCTATGCTGCTGCTCCTACACCAAATTTCAGGAGGTTTTGGCATTTTTTTGGCAAAGCCCCTAAACTCAACTCAATAGAAGCCTAGATGACTTTTATCAAAGTGGTTGTAAAGGCTCAAGTTTTCTATGCATGAAAAAAACCTTCTCTGTGCAGTAGCTCCCCCCCCCCCCCCAATACTCACTTAAGCCCCCTCTTGATCCAGTGTGGTTCACTTGAGTCTCAGCAATCCCAGGTCTCCCTCTCCTCATTGGCTGTGACAGCAGCAGGGGCCATTGGGACCAAGCCACGGCTCCGTGTGTGAATGGACACATTGAGCAGTGGGTGCCTCCATAGCAAGCTGCTTGGTGTTGTGCCCCCGACAGGAGAGAGGGACCAAGAACGCCAGCGGGGGACCGGCGGCAGGAGAAGAGGAGGATCTTGGCTGCTCTGTGCAAAACCACTGCAGAGAGCAGGTAAGTATGATGTGTTTGTTATTTTATTTTTTTTTTTATTAAGCCTTTATTTTCACTTTACCAGCAGCAGAGTCTAGGTGCAGTTAAATGTCCCTCTCCTGAACACAGAAGAACTGGGTTCAGGAGAGGAACGTTTTGGCGAAAAAATGCTAAATGCGGCAAAAATGCATGTAAACGTGCCTAAGCATTAACCATACTTAACGCATCAGTGTTTATTCATTTCAATGGTAAGTACTTTGGCCAATGAAATAATAAATGGCTAAGCGCTAAACGTGGGTAAATGCAGTACCGCGTTTATGTGTATTTTTGCTGCATTTAATGCTTTTCTGTTACCAATAGAAAAACATTCCAGTGTACATGGAACCTCTGAGTTTCAAAGTTTTCGTTCCAGAGTTTACGTATAATGCTGATTATTCATTGCTTTTGTGAGTATGTATTCTTTTATCATTTAATAAAGTGCTGCTGATAATTCAATAGGCATTTGTGAATTTTGTTTTAATGTTTTTGTGCAGCTGTAATATTCCCCAATCCTAGGAGGACAGCATTGGTTTTCTGAACTTGTCCAGTTTGGGCATGGATTCTGGTCTCTACAGAATCCCCTAGTGCTGTGGTGTCAAGCCATTTCCTTTATAGAAATAAAAGCTGATCATTGTAAGCACCCCTGCCAATATAAATGGCTTGTCTCATCCCTGTAACTGCTACATCTGCAGGACAGCTTGTTCTGTTGAAAAACAACAGACTTACTGCCAGAATCATCAAGTGAAAAGAAAAAAAAGCCTTCAAGATTTGGAAAGCTGCAATAAAATAACTCTTTGCTGTTGGGTTTATTACCACCTTAACAAATTAAGTCTAATTGTGTGGTGGATCTTTCATCTTCTTGAAGCTTTTCTGCCAGCAAGACGAACCAGACCGACACCTGGCCATACTTGAAGGGTAGGAGACCTGCGATCTACAGGGAGTGATATGTTTTATAATCATTAAAGTGTTACTAAACCCACAACAGTGAAATAAGTCTGTATATGCAGTAAAGCATGCTTGTTATACTCATTATGGAACCCAATGGGTTAATCCTCTGCATTGTGTAAGAAGGCTGTTTGATCCTGTCTTCTCTGACCCACACCTTCTTCTACTGTCCCCAATTCATTGGCTGATAGTACAGAGCTCTAGAAAACACTCTGCACATGCTCAATTTAGTTTGTGTTGCTAGAGAGTTTTTTTTTGTCTTTGGGAGGGTGCATGTGATCAGCACAGAGCCAATCAGCACTGTCCAGCTAGAGGGTCAGGGGTATGTAGCCTCATAGGACAGTCAGAGCAGAATGAAAACTCCTCCTACAAGCTTTAGAAATCACAAGACTACTCTAACTGCTGATGAGAAAAATTATTTAGCAGTTTATATTTACTAAAATAATTGCATTTCCATGTGTGTACTGTGGGAGACCAGATATAGTAAATGCAGGGTGCTGGGTTTGGTAACACTTTAACAAATGAATAGAACTTTTTATTTTTGGAAGTCACTAATCTACTAACTGTTAGAGATCATTCACACGTGCTTTGGTCTTTGAAGAGAGACTCCTGTTTGGAACGCTCTTTGGAGAGCATTTGACAGATGGTGAAGAGGTGTTCTACTGCCTCCTCACTGCCTGCTTTAACCCCCTAGGCCCCACACTGGCATGCCACAGCTGCATGCATTGCACGCAGTTTCGGGGCGCTTGCAGAGCAGCCCTATTTACTTGAATGGGTCGCACTCGATGTGCACTTTTTCCAACAAAAGTGGCATGGGTTATAATTCTTGCTATGGCTGCAGCATTGCAGCTGTGGCATTTGTACACCCCTGGTCGCTGCCTATGCAGCTATGCAACTAAAGGGGGGAGCATTTGGGGTGGTAACAATTAGGCTCAACCATGGGGTTTTACCACCATTTAGCTAATGTAAGCGAGCCCTTCGTTTCTTGTTATAGTGACATTGAGAAAGTAAACTTCTCTAACACAGACTACACAGGACACTATTCCACCAAACAGTGCACACACTCTGCAGGAATAGCATTACTGAGGATAACCCTCATTGCCCTTGCACACAGGGCAGCAGTCTGCAACCTTTTAACATAAACATGAATGTTTCTTACAGTCAGCAACATGATAAACCCTAAAACAGTAATATAATATATTCCAATTCACCAATCTTACAGTGTTACTAAACCCAGGACCCTGTATTCACTATATCTGGTCTCCCACAGTACACAGAACATGGAAATGCAATTATTTTAGTAAATATAAACTGCTAAATACCTTTTCTCATCCGCAGTTAGAGCAGTCTTGTGACTTCTATCAGTGACTAGCCAAGCACTGGTTAAAGCTTGTAAGAGGAGTTTTAATTTTGCTCTAGATGGATGCAGGAACCCTGTTCTCTGTCTGGACAGTGCTGATTGGCCCTGTGCTGATCTCATGCACTCTCCCAAAAAAACAAAAACCTCAATACACATCAAACGGAGCATGTGCAGAAGGACTCCACACGATATGTCTTATCAGGAGATAAGAAGGGGGCACTGGAAGAAGAGGAGGATCAGAGAAGACTGGATCAAACAGCCTTTTTACACAATGCAGAGGATTAACCCCTTAGGTTCCACATTGAGTACACCAAGCATGCTTTACTGTATATACAGATTTTACTGTTGTGGGTTTAGTAACACTTTAAATATGGTGGCTGGCTGAATTAATTTTTTTTTGAACTTTTGTTTCCTTTATTTTCACCCAGTGATCCAGGCCAGACACTTCTTGTCTTAGGGTGTCTCCAGTCTAGTGGGAGGAGCAACTGATGAGACACCTATGGGCAGCAGCATTGTCAGTCTGGGGAGAGGATAGTGTTAGATGCAGTAGAAGATTTTGTTGGACTAATAAATAAAAGAATATGTAAACCCAGCATTTCATATTCCTGATATGTGCCTGCTGTAGCCATGTACTTGTACGGAAAAGTATCCTATTCACTTTATATTGCTTCCTTTGTGTGAAATCCCTGGTGTTCCTGCCAGTCCCTCTGCTTTCCTATCAAAAACTGACCACACTAAGCATGAGAGCACAGCATGGTCAGTTCTATAGCTGTGCTGGGAGCTCAGTGTGCTTTCCTCTAATGATCAGACTTCTGCTGACACATCTCCCCTTGCACTGCCACTGGGAAGATCAGTGTGTGGTGCTGTTTCTCCTCGCCTAGCTCTTATACAGCTGAGAACAGAGGGAATAATATCACTTATAAATAAAGGAAACAAGGTGTATACAGTATATTTTTTTTATAGCTATACACAAATGTTTTACCTTTCATTTCTATTTTAAACTGAATAGGTTGTTTTACAAGGTGAGGGTTTACAATCACTTTAACCTCCCTAGCGGTATTCCCGAGTGTAGCTCGGGGTAAAGTTTCAGTACCAAAAGCGGTAACCCCGAGCTACACTCAGGCTTACCATGCAGCGCTGCATAGGGAGTCCCTGCAGAGCTTACCTTGTCCTTCGCTCCCGCGATGTGTCCCCTGCAGTGTCCTCGGCCATCTCCTCCGGCCGATGCCGGCATCCGGTTTCTGTGTTCCGGTCCCTGTGACGTCGGGACGTAGGGGCGCCGGCGGCGGGAAATTTGAAAATGAAAAAAAGATTAAATTTTTTTCAAAACGAATTTTACATAGTAAAACAAACATTGCTGTTTCAAACCATTTCACATACATTTTGTCCCTAGTGCTTTGTCCTGTGCCCTGTCTGCATTTTGACTGTTCTTTCTGCCTGGAAACTTAGAAAAGTCCATGGCGTCCAAAAAGCATCCCTTTAGGTCAAAAGCGGGTTTAGACCGGCTAGAGAACAGCGATAGTAAATCAGAACCACTTGCAGAATTGAGTGATAATGATTTGTGGAGAAATTCGTCATCAGACACTAAAACAATTTTGGAACTTTGCTCAGCGATGTGTGAACTTGGCGCTATATTTCAAATTTCAGTGTTTTTGGTTTGATTATATTATTGAATTAAATTTATTATTATATTATTATTTTTTATGATTATTTATTAAATTATAATTTATGATTTTGTGTTTCAAATTTTATCCTACCCGGGATGTTTACTAGACTCTTGTTCAGACAGATTTTAGTGAGATATTCCTAAATATTACAGCCTACAATAAAAAAACTACATATTTCCATGCAAAATAATGGTACCGCTTTCAGCACCAAAAATCTGAAATAATCATACCGCTAGGGAGGTTAAGCCCTGGTTCACACCGCTATGACTTCAGATGCAACATGCAATGTCGCACCTGAAGTTGCATCTAATGTATCTCTATGGCACTGTCTTAATAAGTGCGATTTCAAGTAGCGCGATTTGAAAAATAATTCCTGCATTACTTTTTCACCATTTCAGTGCGATTTAATGCTCATAGACTATAAAGTAGATGGCACTAAAATCTCAACTTTTTCTATATCAGAGCTACTTTAAAGTCAGCTTTAATGGGACCAAATTGCAGCACGTTTAAATCGCATTTGGTGTGAACTAGGGCTAAATCTGAACTCCAACTAACACTTTATAGGCAGTTACAATTTTTTTTTTTTTAATTCTTGGCCAAAGGATCTACATAAATAAATAAAAGCCAACCATTATAATCACCCCCGTCAGTATTGTATGGTTTGTTTTAACCGTCTAACTGCCATTTGTGCTGCAGAGCTTGATCTGTTAAAGGAAGTTGAAAAGGAAAAGCAACAGGAGGGAAAAAACAGAAGAAGGAAGCCTTAAAACGAAAACGAATGCAGCCGCAACAAGAATTGGTAAGCTGCAAAATAATAAATGTTTGTTTTTGAATTTAATACCACTATAAGCCACTGGCTATATTGGCTATGCCGATATCTGGCCCTGTTCATATTGTTTCCTGATCTATGCTGGTAGTCGGCACCCGCAGAGTTCGGTCATATCCGCTGGGCTGCATCCTTCCAAGTAATCTGTTCAAGCTGCTGATCACCAAGAAGAGGTGATGTGCTCCTGGCAGGTAATAAGCTCACACAGGAATAGCCCAACATCCAGACTCACTATTATCTAATAAGTCTTAGTTTTCATTTCCATTCATTTTGAAGAACTCTGATTACCTTGTCCCCTACCTTACGTACACATTACACAGTTCATAGATTGCGTGCTGTCAGTGTTATGAGCACTTCATGTTCACCCGCAGGAGGCTGAGCAGAGCCTGAAGACAGTGTGGCATTATGGAAGCAGTGTGTTTGTAATGACTGTTAGTACACTGCCCCAGGTCTCCCATTCCTGGCGGTGACCGGATGCCCTAACGTCCTTTTCTTAGAGTGGTTTGCAAGGCCACGTGAAGTCACATATACCAAACAAATAAAGTAGGTCATTACAGAACCCCCAGCTGAAATATGTCATGATGGGTTAGTGTCAGCGCATAATGCTGACCAAACAACTGCCCTCCTTAACCCATTCCCAGCTGGAGAATCAGCAGAACCAATGAAGAGCTCAGCAGGGGAAATCTGCTGGGAAAAGGTGGTCAAAGACCGTCTCCATAATAAATGTGAGCTGCCTTAGCTATACTGTACACATTGTAGTATCAGAAGCACATGTTTAAACTCATTTTGAAAGTATGCAAGCATCACTTTATATATTGCTGATCCTACCAATATTTGTTATTATGCAATTATTATTATTATAACAATATTATTTTAAATATATATTTTATATAGGTTAGGAAAGAAGGCAGCTATACACCATCAGATGTTTTTATTTTGATCATCTGCTTGAGTAACAGCACACAAATATTATAGAAGAGCTGGATGCAGACCAATAATTGGATGTGATTGAAAAGCCTTATGAAATTAGGAGTTCGAATATGCTAATTGAAAAGGCCAATTCATTTGCTAATGTCTGGACAGTACAAGATGAATTGTAGATCAAAGTTACTGTGATATCCAATGTTCTGCTTCCCCAGTCGTGCTGGAAATGTTATAGTTGTGATTTTTATTTAGTATTTAAGCCAACCATTCTCAACCAAGGAGAATCATTGAGAAATGACTCTAACTTCTGCTGAGATTGCCAATATTACAGTTATCCTCAAAAAAGGTAGACTCCTCATCCTGTGCAAATTACCACCCAATCTCCCTACTTAATGTAGACCCAAAATTGTTCACTAAAACTCTAGCTATTTGGCTTCTCCCTCATAACGTAAAGGTTATCAGCCTTGGCCATGTGGGCTTCATCTCTTTCCTAGAGGCAAGAAATAATACATTTATTTCTTGCAGTGAGTTTGTCCAGAACCTCCTGTTTATTACTGTCAAGTGAAGCCAAAAAAGGACTTCAATGGGGTAAACTCATGGAGTGTCAACTTAAATACAATGACTTAAAGGGTAGTTCTATTAAATGGATCAGCATGAGTTACTCAACACCTATGGCAGTGGTAAGATTGAAGGGTGTCAATTCAAAGCCCTTCCAAATCACTAAAGGATGCCCACTTCCACTTTGTACTTTCCCTGGAACCTTTCCTGTGTAAGGTAAGATCCAACCCATAGATTAAAGGAATCCCAACAGGAAACCACCACTACAAAATTTTTGCCTATGCAGATTATTTTCTCTTTACACTTACTCATCCTCACATCTCCCTACCTAACCTTCTGGGAGAATTTGAGGCCTTTGGGGAGCTATCCCACTTGAAAATTAATTTTCAAAAGTCAGAAGCCATGGGCATACCTCATACGTGAACAACCTTAAAACCAATTTCACATTTTAGTGGGCTACCGGGGTGAAAATATACCTAGTCACCCTTCCCTCCAGAAACCTGAGGGATACTTTTGCTGTGAATTCCCCTTTACTTCTTCAAAAGATAAGTTCCTCCTATACAAATGGAACTCTGGCTAGTTCTCCTGGTTCTGTCAATGCAATATTACCATCCTTCCAAAATCTCTTTATTCTCAACCCATTCACCTTACCTCTTCTTATAGTCAATTTAGTGTTTTCACAATTCTTATGGGCCAGCAAGTACCCCCATCTTAAACTACAACTTCACCTCTCTAAAGCCCTAGGAATACTAGCACTGACAGATCTTATCAAATACCACATAGCAAGTCACCTGGTCAGGCTAAAAGATTAGTTCAGACATAGCGATACAAAACAAAGGGTAACTCCATATCAATCTTTTTTTAAACCCCTCTTCTGAAGGGACTTCCTTGGTGCGACTCATGTATTCTATATCTGAAACTACAGCCAACAATCAGCCCCTCCACACAAGTCTGCTTCAAAGCCTTCCAGAAGTATAATTTTTTTCCACAATCCACTCCCCCCATTCCCTATCCTTAGTAACACTGGATAACACTCCATGTCTTTTGGTCCAAAACCCTTCTGAAGAAGTCAGGAAACTGTCCCAAAAATTTATGCCAAGTGACCTGGCCTTCTACCTATGCATCCCCCACTGCATTTTCACTAAAACATACTAGAAATGCATGCTCCATCACCTTCTGAATGCTGCCAACTCCTGAATCCCTTTGGAGGGATCCTTCCCCTCCCCCAATATCATTGT